AGTCATATTTCCTTAATATTTTAAAGCTGTTTGAAGATGCAACTAGAAAACATGGATTCAGATATTAAAAATGTTTTTTCAGACTCTTCTGCTTAAAACTTTAAGAACAGTCAAATTTCACAAACATACAGAAATTATTGTGTTAATAGCTGTGTTAAGGAAATGCCATGCAAGATAAAGTACAGACGATATAAACAATAGACATAGCAGTCTTTTGAGAGTGTGCAATCTCTTGGCAGCACAAAGGCCCACTGGTAAATCTCTACACACCTGGGATGACTGGGGAGAGTCGCCAACCACAGCTGCATTTGTGACCTTAAGCATTAGAACTCAGAACTTGTCGAAGTCCTGGTTCAACAGTGACTACATGAAGCAGAGGAAAGAGCAGGGATATTGGCTCCTGGAAATCTACTACTTAATACGTGGTTACCTTGGTGGTTCAAGTTAGTTACTGTCCAGGTGCCCCAGTTCTGTCATCTACAAAATTAGAATGAAGAAAATAATGGCCTATCAACCTTCTTACCTTATAGATTCAAGGAACAAATGAAGAAAAACAGTAAGCTTGCTGTGAAATGACAGAGAGAAAGACAAAGGGAGGAGAGAGAGAGTTTCTTTGGAAGCTGAAGACAGTATTTCTTACATTTACTTTGTAAAAAATGAATTTAATAAATACGGAAGTGAATGGTATTTTTGTTATTGTTGTTTTTAGTTTGTATTTTAAAAATTGCCCTAATTGCTGCAAAATTTGACTAGTCTGTGTTGTTTTGTTTTTTTCTGACAGCTCTATTGAGCTATCATTGATATATATAATTTTATATATTTAAGGTATATAATTTGATGTTTTCATATACATATACACTGTGAAATGATTACCATATTTTTTCTTTTTGAAATTTTATTGGTCTATGAAATCCAGGAGTTTGGAAAAGTACCTAATGTAGGGCAATTCTAAACAAAAATTTATTCAGTTTTATTCAATGAGCTTTTACTGAACATCTTCATTTTTAATTTCTTAAATTGCCTTCACGTTTGTCAGCCTTATTTTCAAACAAAGTATCTGGTCCTTAAGAGTATAAGGACCTCTCCAACTTCTTCAGGATTTCTCAAGGAGCTAGCCTAGCCATGTGAGTGCACGGTAGACATTCCTAAATGACTGAATCAGATGATGGTCTACACTTGTTTTTGTATAGAAATGAGAATGAGTCACTGTCTGGAACTTGTCCCCTGACTTGGGAATGTTAAACCTTTGGACCACTTTTCACTGGCTCCCTGGTGGGCCCTTCTTCCTTGCAAGGGCCTCAGGGACATGGTGGAGTTTCCTTTTCTCTTTACTGTCCCTTTCGGTTACTCATACCTCTAGGATTCTTTTACCCGCTCTACCAGTTTATGCTGCATACAGGAAAGGAGCTTTCCTAGTTTCCTTGTTTCTCTTCCTGAAAAAACACACAGGCTTTTTTAAGTTGAATTTGAATACTAATCCCTCCTGGTAATCAGACGTGGAATAACAAAAATGGTAAACTATACCAAGTTTCCATGGTTAAGAAATCTTACCGAATTCTATCAGGTCTGTTTCCTGGTCTATAATTTTTGACTTCTTGATGGAAATGCTAACTAGGAGTCCCAAACATTTATTCTTTAAGGCAGATTTCTTTAGATGTCTTATTCTAAGGCTACCGTATCCAATCAGAGAAAGAAAATTAAGATGATCTAGGTTAATTTAGGTGCTATCCTAGGCTAAATAATAGTCACCTAAAGATAATAGGGCCTAATCCCAGGAACCTATAAAGTTACTTTATAAGGAAAAAGGGACATTGCAGATGTGATTAAATTTAAGTATCCTGAACGGGGAGTTATCCTGGATTATCTGGGTGTGCCCTAAATACAATTGCAAGTGTCTGGTAAGAGAGAAGCAGAGGGTGATTTGACACAGACACAGACAGAAGAGGAGGAGGCAATGTGACCACTGAGGCAGAGATTAGAATGATACAGCCACAAATCAAAGATTGTCAGCAGCCACCAGAATCTGGAAGAGGCAAGGAACAGATTCTCTTTAGCACTTTCGAAAAGATGGTGTGTTGGTTGTGGTGGCTCATGCGTATAATCCCAGCACTTTGGGAGGCTAAGGCTGGTGGATCACTTGAGCCCAGGAGTTTGAGACAAGCCTGGGAAACATGGCAAAACACCGCCTTTAAAAAAAACAAAACAAATAAAAAAACAAAAACCAACAAAAACCAAACAAACTATAAATGAACAGGCATGGTGGTGTGCACTTGTAGTCCCAGCTACTCTGGAAGCTAAGGAAGGATCACTTGAGCCTGGGTGGTCAAGGCTGCAGTGAGCTGTGATTGCACCACTGCACTCCAGCTTGGGTGACACAGCGAGACCCTGTCTCAAAAAAAGAAATGATTGTGATCCGGTGAACACCTTGATTTTGAACCAATAATACTGATTTCAGACTTCTGACATTCAGAACTGTGAGATGAAAATTTTGTCTGTAGTGATTTGTTAGCACAGCCATAGAAAACGAATACAAGTGCTCACTGTCTTAAATTCCTGTCATGTAAACTGTGGGGTCGGTAACATTCAGTTTAAGGGGTTCTTGCCCCGTTTTGCCACCTTTTCTGGTAATTAATTATCATGCTGAGCAGAAACTATTTTTGCATGACTGGAAAATTACGCTTGAGAAACTGGGATTTGAGAAAGGCAAGGAAAGAAAGATGATATACCTAACCACTAGTCCTTCATCTAATAAACATTGTGTAAATTCCTACTGTGTGTCAAGGTTTGTGCTAAGTCCTAGAATAAAAATGAAATAAGACAGAATTTTTGTCCTTAAGAAGTTCAGTTGAGTAGGAGAATTAGACACACACATACAAATCAAATTAATTTGTGAAATATGCAGTAATAATTATGTGCAAAGAGTATTATATTTCCCCAGTGCATTTCACATTTTGAAAAACACTGTTTACAAAAAGTTTCTGTGTTTAAGTAATATATCATAGGTCAAGAACAGTTCTAACTGCTAATAGGTTTTATAATTAACATAGGATCATCAGTGTTACACTACTAGCTTACCGTTATTTCAGCCAAAAATCAAAGGTATTTTTCATTTGAGTTTTTATTATGAAGTCTGCTCTGGCAAGAGTGTGATTTTTATTATAATATTTTAAATACTGATGTAGCCACAGAAATCTCTCCTCATTACTTTCAAGAGTAGCCTTTCCTAGTTTGAGAAATACAGCAACTACTGTCATTAAACAATCTGGTTGACCATACTCGGTGGCTCACATCTGTAATCCCAGCACTTAGGGAGGCCAAGGAGGTGGATCACCTGAGGTCAGGAGTTCGAGACTAACCTGGCCAACATGGTGAAATCCCATCTCTACTAAAAGTACAAAAATTAGCTGGACATGTTCGCACATGCCTGCAATCCCAGCTACTCTATTCAGGAGGCTGAGGCAGGAGAATTGCTTGAACCCCAAAAGTACCTGATTATGGATTGTTTTAATTGTAAGCAAACCCAGTTTCATTACCTCAAGCAAGTTTCTTCATCTCTTTTAGCTTCCATTTCTCATCTTCAAAGTAGGAGTCCTAACATCCACAGGGAGTGCTACTGTGAGAATGGAGTGAGATTTTGTATATGAAGTAGCAAAGACAAGGCCTGGTACTTAGTAGGTACATTATTAAGAGTTGGAACCATTTTTTAAATCTTTTGTCTTCTTGTCACTTTTGCTGTTGTTCTGAAAGCCTCTGCGCTTTTAAAAATTGTCTCTTATTTTACTATTCTTCAGTTGCTTCACACTTCTCAACTCATGACAAGAACCGCCTGCGCCCATCTATTGGAATTAAAGCTTAGGAGCACCAGAGCATCCCAGAATTTGACTTCCCTCAAGTGGTGAGACTCCCTGGGTTCTTTGTGTGCTCTTTTCCTTCTCCTTTACGTATCACATGGTCAAAAAAAACCCATAGTATTACCATTATTTATAAATAATGGTAATATAGATAATATGCTCTCTAACTTCAGAAAGATTTAGGACAGGTTTCTGGATATGGTCATGCATGAAACAGGAATAACAGTCTATTAGAAAACTGTGTGAAGTCTAACTGGGACTTGATATAGATTCATTTTGATTTTTCAAACTGAGGACTGCAAACTGAGGACTGCAATCATTAGTTCATTAAATTAATTGGAATAAGTATATTGCATGTAGTCAGAGTAGTAGCAGTTTTTTGAAATTTTAGTTTTAATTAATCCTATGGCCTATGTTGTAAGATTTTTTTTTTAAGAGTTTAAAAGCCATTAGGCAACTAGCAGTAAACTTTTTCTGTCACCCATTAATTGTTAAATTTGGAAAGTCCTTGGTTTATTGGACAAACCTTTATTGGACATCTATTTTGCATCAGATATTTTTCTATATGAATGACATTTTTTCCTCTCTTCTCTAATAGTGATTTGTTGCATTGTCGGGTAGCTACCTGTGTCAATTCCACAGGCTTCTCACTCTTCACTGGGCCTCTGGTACAGGGTTGAGAGGATTCCTATTACTGCTAAACAGACTAGGTAGTAAAACAAAAAGATTCCTGAAGAGAGTGAATCTAAGTTCCCCTACAGCCCCTAAGAATTACGTCAGCTTTAACCATTAATTGACCGGGCTCTTATTCAGTACTGTTTTAAAGGCTTTTTGATCAGTATGTGATGGGCGGGGAAGGAGATAAAGAAACTGGTGGCTAGTGGGAAGCCATAGTTAAGTGCTGTCTGGGGACTTTCCTTTGGGAGTAGGATAATTTGCTGAGGAAACGCTGGAGAACAGGGAGCTAGTACACAAAAGGCTGTTTCCGTCTCAAATGTCCTTACCAAGCCTCTTTGAGATGAACTTTTTTGGGGGAAAACAACCAGTCCAAAAGAACTGGATACGTGTGTGTGTACGAGGGGGCGGGGAGGGTTCCCACTTTTAGTCTGAGTATCATTGTTCACATGTGTGTCCGTATTTTGGAGCCTGGCAGGCCGGGCTAGAGGCTGCGGGGGACGACTCCAAGTTCCCACCCGGGACATCCTGAACAGCAGCAGCCGCAACAACAGGCTCGCCCCCAGACAAAGGGGCCGGCGCGGCAGCGGAGCAGACCGGGGTAGCCGCGGAGCAGACGGGGCAGCCGGGCCGCGCCTGGAGTGCTGGGGGTCGGGGCCACGGAGTGGACAGAGCTGACCCGGCGCGGGTCGGAGTCAGGGCGCCCGGAAAACCCGGCTCTGGGGAGCACACCCCGCCCGGGCTGGCTCGGCGCCGGGCCTTCGGGCTTCCACACAGTCTTTGACCCTCCGTCCTCACTCCGCGGCCCCACAGGCCGCGTAACTGTAACCGCTGCCCCGGCCGCCGCCCGTTCGTTTTTGGGCCGGCGGGCACAGAGCACGGCGCAGCGGGGCCGGCGGCATGGCTGTGTCCTGGAGGAGCTGGCTCGCCAACGAAGGGGTTAAACACCTCTGCCTGGTAGGATGGCGGGCTAGGCTCTCCGTGCGCTTTCTCTGTCCTGCCGCGATTTTGATTCATTCTGTGAGAGTGCATGGGTGGGAAGCTGGAAGTGGAAGTTTCGTCTTAATGCGAACATTCTCAACTAACAAAACTTTATGCTGGAGATAACAATGAACACCCCCAACCCCCGCGTGCCTGTCCCCCAAATGCATGAGAATTTTTCTGACACTGATGGGAGAGCAAATGTGGAGGAAGAGACGTCATTTTCAGTGAACTCATCTTTTCCTTTACCCTTTAAACATTTTTCTCCCTTTGTTCTTTTCCCAGATTACTTCTCTTTGCTTGGGATACGGTGATGTCATTAGTTTCTTAATCTCATTTTGTATGGCAGGGGATAGCTATAAATCATTTAGGAGACCTATTTGGAACCCAAATGCTTAGTCTCAGGTGAAAGCGCTGGGTAAAGTCAGATTTGTTTTCCTCGGAGTGGTTTTCAGCTTGCTAGCTAATTGAAAATGCTTTCTGCAGTTACTGATTTAGGTTCCATTGAAAGCTCTGTGTCCAGGGAATTTACCTGTGGTTTCTACTCATCAGGTAATGATTATTTTTCATTTTTGTTTTCTGTCTCTCACATCTATTTGGTTTAGCTCATCTGGATCTCCATGAATGTCCTGCTTTTCTGGAAAACCTTCTTGCTGTATAACCAAGGGCCAGAGTATCACTACCTCCACCAGATGTTGGGGGTAAGTTGAACTTGGATGATTTGGTGGAATGGGTTTAACACAGGCAGACATTGCTACAGGTTTGGTCAGTTCCATTCCTTAAAGAAATGCTGTTCACTTTAGAAATATTTGTTGTTCTCTAAAGTGATCACATTTTCTTGATTTATCATTCACGCTTGTACAAGTTAAAAAGATTGACTCTCTCAAGAACTGGAGGTAGTGTCAGCTGGAGTGAAATGAATGAACCTGCCAGACTAGGTTATTGGTGCCTTAAAAAAGTTGCTACTTGGCCAGGCACGGGGGCTTGCACCTGTAATCCCAGCACTTTAGGGAGGCCAAGGTGAGTGAGTGGATCACGAGGTCAGGAGTTCGATGTCTCTACCAAAAGTACAAACATTAGCCAGGCCTGGTGGTGGGCGCCTGTAATCCCAGCTACTCAGGAAGCTGAGGCAGGGAATTGCTTGAACCCGCGAGGCAGAGACATCAGTGAGCCGAAATCGTGCCATGGCACCCTATCCTCGGCAGCAGAGCAAGACTCCATCTCAAAAAAGAAACAAAGAATGAAAGAAAAAAAAGTTGCTACCTATTGCTGGCTTGCTAATTACCCTGAAGGATCTGATTCACCGGGAGGACCAACCAATGACAAGCTTTTAGTTTATACTTTATCAGTGCTTTTAGTCCGCTCATGAGCTTATCCAGAAGATTTCTGCACTGTTTGCTTTTACTGACAACTCTCACAAAGCATGGGTCTAATGGGGTTTTTCATTTCTGGGCAGTTCTCAGTGCTTGCTTTGGGTTAGTGGCTGATGATATCCCAGTATTCTAGTATAATATGAGAAAGACATTGGGCAAAACTTTTTTTTCTGATTTATGTTAATATTTTTTCTTTTCTATGATGTTTCTGATCTCATTCTTCCTTTCCATTCCCTTCTTATTTGACTGCTTAACAGAAGATAGTGTTACTTAGGGCATATTGCTTTGTACAAGGAGATTGCATTTTCTTTTCTTTCTTTTTTTTTTTTTTTTTTTTTTTTTTTTTTGAGATAGTCTTGCTGTGACACCCAGGCTAGAGTGCAATGGTGTGATCTCAGCTCACTGCAGCCTTCAATTGCTGGGTACAAGCAAGTCTGTCTCAGCCTCCCGAGTAGCTGGGACTACAGACATGCACCAGCATGCCTGGCTAATTTTTGTATTTTTAGTAGAGACGGGGTTTCACCATGTTGGCCAGGCTGGTCTCAAACTCCTGACCTCAAGTGATCCAGTCTCCCATGAGGTCTGCTGAATGATCAGATGAGGTCCGATGACTTATCAAAGTGCAAGTAATATACATAATTTAAAGTTTTTCAGTCACACATTAAAAAAAGAAAAAAGAAGCCAGTGGCATTGATTTTAATAATATATACCCAACTAACCAGGCAATAAAAGAGACATCAGGATATGGGTAGTCCTCTTGCCCCTCCTCTACTAAGCAGGAATTGTCAATGGATGGGAAGTTGTGGAACTATAAAAATTATTGGTTTGGGAGGCTAAGGTGGAAGCATCACTTGAAGCCAGGAGTTTGAGACTAGCCTGAGCAATGAAGTGAGACCCCATCTCTACAGATACACACACATACACACACATCCATATATGTGTGTGTATGTATGTGTGTGTGTGTGTGTGTGTGTGTGTGTATATATATATATATATATATATATATATATATAAGCTGGGTGTGGTGGCACAGTTGTGTAACTGTCGCTACTTGGAAGACTGAAAAAATAAGATGTTAATTGTTGGAAGATAAAATAACATTGGGATTAATATGTTTCGTTGGGGGTTCTCATCATGATTATCCTTTCCCAGACTGGTCTGATCCAGACTGGAGGCAACGTGGTCACGGCTGGTTTATTATGCCCGAGTTAATGTGCTAATCAGACTGTGCACTTCCTCGCGATGTTCAATTGTCACATGTTGTGAGTTTTTAATCTTAAAATTAGTTGAGGAAAAACAAATCAATTGAGAGAAGCTAAAACAAGCACCCAAACAAGCAAACAAACAAACCAAATAATAGCCTGCTCCACTCTCCCATAGCAACCTTTTAAATAAAGGACTTCATTAATTGCTTAAGATTAGTCTATTTTTATTTATGAATGGAAAGTGTAGTTGCTTGCACTTTATAGAAAGTAGCAGTAGGTTGTGTTCAGCTCTCAGAAATGTAGTTTTCTATTTTTTGTTTTTTTTTAAATATTGGGGCAGTTTAATTCAAAACACTGTCTACAGGAGCTCTTAAATTCATGTTTACTTGTTTTGAGTTGTGTTTTTCACATTTTAATTATTAAAGAATATCATATAATTCCCATAACATTTTAACTTGAAAAGAGAACGATTTTATGCTACCAGATTCAATGTGTCTTAGTGATATATAAATATAACTTAAGAAAGGAGAAAGAAACCCGTGGCATTGATTTTAATAATATATAGCCAACTAACCAGGCAGTAAAAGAGACATCAGGTTATGAGTAGTCCCATATGGCTAGAGTTGCTCAGGCACACGTTATGATTCCAATTAAGCGGACATTTTTTGATAAATGTTTCATATATATGTATATCTATGTATATATAAATATATACATATATACACAACTCGTGTGTGTATATATATATATACACACATATATATACAACACAACTCAAAACAGATAACCATGAATTCAAGAGCTCCTGTAGACAGTGTTTTGAGTTAAACTGCCCATTTTTATATATACATATTTATATAAAAATATATATATATATCATTCATATATACATATATAAATATGTATATTTTTTCCCTCCAAACTACTCAATTTCAAACTAGTTATTCTCATGGTATCATGATGAGATTTTAATTTTAAATTTGCTTTTATTCACAAATATTGTTTTCGACCTGCTGTGTAATCATGAAGCTATTTTTTTAACTTTTACTGAAATACCTATGCTTTCTGGAAGAAAGTTATGAGCATTCAGATTCTTTCTAGTGAAACACCAGGATTATCTTTCTTTAGTCAATCATTATCAGTTAGAAACATTAACTAATTTACCTTCTCAAGAGTCCTGGAAGTTATATCATAACACTTTACAGAGACAGACATCTGATGTCATGTGAACTCTTTAAGGTCAGAGACTAGAGTCTCTGGACAAATGGACCTAGGATTTTAAGTCAGTGTTAGTTTCACAGCTGGTCTGGGCTGCTTTAATTCTGCTGAGAATGAATGTATCCTCCCTGTTAGTTTCAGAAGAGATGTGGTCATTAACTCTTAATTGTACAGACTATAAAAGTCATTAGCTAGAGTTGCTCAGGCACATGTTATGGTTCCAATTCAGGTGACATTTTTAGTTTGTATTATTTAACATTCCACTATTTAAAAACAGTTTCTTCCTGTTTATTGACAGGTGAAATGGGTTATATTTCTTGATGAAATTATATTATATTCTTCATCTACTTACAATAGATAGTGATTCATAGAATTTTAGACTTGGAAGGGAACTTTGGCATCTTTACTTAGATAACTTTTCATTTTCCTAAATAGAAAAATGAGATTGAAATGATTTGTTCACTATCACCGACTGAATTAGTGGCTTGGTTGCTATTTAGTTTATTCCTCTCCTTAGTCCAGTATTAGCCTGCTGTAATGAACAGCTGTATGAAGATATGCAAGAACATTTAAAACCCCACACTGTATGGACTACTAGCTTTACTTTTTAGGTGAAACGATACTTTAAAATGTCTAGCAATTTAAGAAGTTAAATTAAGAAGTTAAGGAAAATGATTAATTTACCCGCAAGAAAAAATATATTTTTAGTATTATTCTTGTTTGAGACTTGCCTTAGATAAATTGTGAAGGAATTATGAGACATTTTTATTTAAATTATTTCTGATTTCACAATATTTATCAGAATTCTAAGACTCAATATTTAATCCATTTGTTAGATAGAATGTCAACTGCATAATTCTCTTTTATCAGTATCATTCCAAACTGTATAGAATTGGAAGTTAGAATGAATGACAGAGATAGTCAAATCTTCATTTTTCTATGAATGATATTAATAATATCAATAACAGATTATACTCAGTGAGAGCTGGCTAATGCTAGACATTAGTCTAAGAGCTTTGAACTGATTATTTAATTCTCTCATACATAGTATGGAGGGCATGTTTTCAAGTTTTTGTTTTGTAGCTGAGAAATTGAATTAGAGGGGTTCTATAACTTGCTAGTGAGGGACAGAGACAGGACTCTAGCCTAAAGATCCTGTTTCCAGAACTTGTATGCTGGTTTTATAAACTTTTAATTGACAAATGCAAATTGTATTTATTGTGTACCACATGATATTTTGAAATACATGTATATTGTGGAATGGCTATGTTGAGCTAATTACCATGTATATTACCTTATATACTAACCACTTTTTGTGATAAAAACACAAAATCTACTCTCTTAGCAATTTTCAAGAATATAGTATATTGTAATAAACTATAGTCACCATGTTGTATAATAGATCTCCTGAACTTATTCTTTCTGTCTATCTGAAATTTTGTATCCTTTGATTAACATCTACCCAACCCCCTCCTACCTCCACCAACTCCATTCTACTCTCTAATTCTGTGAATTCAGCTAGATTCTTTTCTAGATTCCACATGTAAGTAAAATCATGTGGTATTTGTCTTTCTGTGCCTAGCTTATTTTACTTTACTTGATGTTTTTCCTTATTTTACTTTACTTGATGTCCTTCAGGTCCATTCATATTGTCACAAATGACAGGATTTCTTTCTTTTTTGTAAAGCTGATTAGTATCTCATTATGTATAATACCATGTTTTCTTTATCTGTTTATCTGTTGACCAAATTTGTATTGTGAGGCATTGTGCTCTGTAATCTCTTTGCAACATTAATATTAGATTGAACCATATAGAATTGCCATTTTGATAGATCAAAAACAGTCAAATATCAGCCATTTTATATGGTTCAACCTAATAGCAACTGTTACCATTTATTGATTATG